CACATTGATCTGCCATATACTAATATTATATATTATTAGTTTCACGATTAATCAAAATTTGAAGACTATTGGCAAAACGTATGGTAATGAAATTGTACTTGCAGATATAGGCAATTATATCACGAGGACATCGTTTCTCGTTTTACCCAAAAAAGGCTAACGAAGTCGCGGGTAACTAGTTAATGATATAGAGTAATTAATATACAATACGATTTATTTGCGTCGAAATAAATTTATTCTCCTAATCTAAGGAAATTAAAACAATACGCACACCTACGTTCACGCCTGAAAACATTGTACAAAAATTTGAAGAACCAACCACTCTCAAAATATTACATACAACTAGAACTACACGTGAAATTTATAGCGTCGCACCCATAAAAACGGGGATTAAAAATAAATCGCTCGAATAAATTGTACCTCTGAAATTAAAACACTCCCTCGCGCGACACGCGGTACTTTGGTCGACAGTGGGTGTGACTTCGACGCAAGTCACAAGCGATAGCGATTTGTGTAGTCAAAGTGTGATATCTATAGGCAATTAAACCTACCCTCGGTTATGTACAATCGAATAGTTGTATTTCAGTATAAATTTTGTGTTATAATTAAGTGTAGTGTTTAGTCGAATATGAACGTGATGTTTAGTGAACGGATAACTATATATCCCAAATTGTATTTAAACTTATAATTACTTTAAAAATTGAAAAATAGAGTATTTTGTAATTTATTCCAAGATCTCACTATTCTTCAATCAGATAAACTGACTTATATATTAATCTTCACGCCACATTAAAACCCATCATTTTAGTCGTGAAAACGCAACAAACACACATACGAACAAATAGAGACACTTATGTTTTTATAATATTAGTATTGATTGCTATTGATTTGACAAAACGTTCATAATGTATATGATGTACAACGTTTATGATGTACACTAATCACGTATTTGTTATCTAATTTGTTTAAAAACTATATTTTAACATCACATGTATGGTAACGGATATGGCAGAGCGGCATCTGACATAGGCATTGCTATATTGTATTAATGAAATCAAATTATTGTTAACAAAATAATTATTTTTTCATTTTTCATTTATGTTTAATTTATGTAAATTGTAATTTATGTTTATGTGTTTTTTTTATACCTGTGTAATAATTGTAGTAAGTGAATCGAGATGCTTTTCGGTTATAACTTGGACGACATCCTAGTCGCAGAATATAGGGGTGTATGCCCTACGATTGTGCATTGTTCTTATAACAGCCTCGCCTGTTAGCGCACGGCGGCCGTCGATGACGCCTAACGAAAGAGGTGTGATTAATAACGGTGTTTGGTGCGAAAAATCCATCACTTGACGGGAATTTCGCTCAAAACCAACCAGTTGACGCTTATTAATTAATAGGCATTCCTATAAGTGCTTAATAGCCCTGATATAGCCACAATTTTTTATATTACACATTTGTATTATAATAGTACTTTCTAAAAAGTACTCTGTGGTGGGGTTTCACTATTTCAGTCGCCAAGCTGTTTCCTTTGAAGTGTCGAGATGAGGCCATGATATTCATGGTGCTGTTCACACGTATAGGCGACAATTACTGCTGATCATCGGATTAGCGGCCATTTTGTTTTGGTATTACAATTAATTAAAAGAAAAAGTATTTAGGTATATAGGAGTACCTAATCTTAATTGTCAATTTTATACTGGAAAAATGAAATTCCATTTTATCATCTGCAATTCTAAAACAAAAGAAATAAGCCACTGATTCTCATTCGATGCACGCGCTCGCAAAATTATACGCGAACCACAAAAAAGGGCCAAAACAATGGACTTTCTTCCCCCACCCTTTAAGGCCTTAATCAAGACCCTGCCCCAAATTCGCCCACAAATTGCATCCAATTGTTCACTTTTTACTGCGAGGCGTGTTTGTGGGGTGTGTAAAAAGAGAATTATCTGTCCGACCAACGGTTGAGCGCATCTGATCTAACGCATCCATTGAAGAGTATTGGCGTGAAAGCAACGACGAATGGGTATAATTGGGTATATTTAATTTTGACCAAAGGTTGTGTATCGCTGCCGGTTGAAACCATGCGTAATTTCACATATGATTAAAGGCTGCATATCAAATGACTGGAGTAAATTGCTTCATTGTTCAAGACTTACTTGTAAGTCGACTTAATAAATACTGCTTTATAATTAGGCATATTTAGGCGTGAAAAGGTAAATTAACACTTCGAGTAAACGGAAATCCCCACTTATCTTTACGTGTCGCTGAACCGTTTTCATATTACATGGAAAGTGTTTGAATTCGTAAATAATATTTTGATAGTGAATTCTATATTTCTACTGTATTACGTCACTTGCTTATGTTACTTACTTGATACCTATTCTGTTAATTATGATGTCAAATAGTTTGGAATTATCATTATGTGTAAGTACTTAAGTATTTATAGAAGTAGACTTTATAAAAAGTCTGCTTGAATACTGTTTCATCTATTTTAGCCGCCAATTAACTTACTTCGTAAGTAAATTATTCAATAAGAAGTTTGGCAAATTATTCCTCCAGATTGGTAACGAGTGTTATCAGGAACGTTATGCTGTTCAAGTATTTCTGTAGGCGTAGGTTAACACTTACCGTCAAGTGGCTTATGAGCTTTTTGCTATTTAAATTAAATAAAAATATATTAATGACTAAAATGTTTATTTTAGATAATGCACGCAACTGTGCTAACATAGTATTCTAGTTTAAAACTAGGTTCTATGTAATATTCCAATAAAACAATTGATAATAGGGAAAACAGAGCTTTTATATTTGCTAGTGGTCGCGACCAGTGCTCTACATTGGACCATAATTAATTTTAATTACAAGTTTAAACATTATAAAGTTTCTATTATCAAAGACTTCGTATGTGTATGAAGTGCATAATAATGCGTGTAATGTTTTTTTTTATCGATGTAATGTATTTTTTTTTTTTGTATTTTTTATGTATACTAATCTTTTCTTTATTTACATAACTTAATTGTACAACTAAGAACCTAAAATTAAAAAGCTTAAAAAAATGTATTTTTATACATTAAAAAAATATACTAGCATTTTACACTCCTTTTTAGTACAAACTATATACAGCTCCATATTGACATTTTCGTAAAATGGTTTACAAATTTTTTGGTTCACGTGGGTATTAATATAAAGCGTATGTTTGTTACAATCGTTGTGTATTTAATATATAAAAATGGCTGCCCGTTACTACTTACTGCCTCTACCTATTTACGTTCAATTACATGCACAATATATTATATCATGAATAATTTATTATTGTCTACTCTCTTTCTCTCTTACTCGTACCTAGTAAAATGCATTCCTATAAAGTCTACAAGAAAGATGCATTTCCTTGTGGCATATATAAAAACGGTGCCTTTGTTAACAAAAATACCTTCGTATCTCTTTAAGATTAGATATTTGCGGTTTTATGGCTTGCACCCCTTTTTTATGCGCCGTGAACTTTTTTTTATTATATTCGCAAAGCCGATTATTTTTTTAAACGGGTTAATTTTTTACCACTTTTGCGGAGGTAGGACAAAAAATGTTTTATGAAACGCAAGTTCTTTATGCAGTAAATATCCTAACAGAGGGTCCACTTGAAATTAAATGAATTCTTTTGTACTTTACCGAGAGTACTACAAAGTACCTTCTCCTATAGTAGGTAGATACTAAAAATGTGCAAATAATTTGAAATAGCAGACTAGCTGTTATTCGCGATTTTGTCTGTATAAAGTTTTATCCCTTATTTTTACTACATTCTATATTATTGTTCGAGATAAAAGATAGCTTCTATCCGTCATTGTGATAAACTCTATATTCCCGTCTTTATTGGGATCCATTCGCATCCAGCCGCTTATTCGTAATTATATTACCTAGTTACGATTATATTCATACAAAATCCTAAATATTATCCTAAACAGTAAAGAATAACATTTATTTAAAAGAGCAACATGCATTTTCAGCTCGCTCTTCTTGTGATAAATGCTTTCCGAATGAGCGGTAAAATAAAAAAATATTGTATGACTATTCATATGTGCTTATATTATATGATATATTACTGTAAAGTTTCATCAGTAGTTTTTGCGTGAAAGAGTAACAAACACCCATACTCACAAACTTTTGCGTTTATAATATTATTAAGATTATTTATATTATGTGGGCTAAGCAGGGGTAAGGAACCCACGGGGCTATCAACGAGTATTTAATTAAGGAGAAAATGTTTTAAAGATTTTAATGGCCGGCCTATATTGTTTAATAGGACAACAAAAGTTTATTTATAACATATTGGCTTACAAAGAGTCTATTTAAGTTTTCTCTTTGAAACGTGACCTTTTAAAGAACGTAGTATAGTAGGCACATACTATGCGTACACGAACATAAAATATTATGTAGGTAAGCTTGTATGTATGTACCATATAATCACGTCCGCGTAGAAATTAACATGTTTCTTATTAAAATAAAAAATACTCTAATTTACTTCTTATAACATTAGCTATCTCTGACTGACAGCACAGTCAAAATCGGTTCAGCCGAAGATTCAGCAAGAACAAACAGACAAATTTATCAAAATATTTTTTTCGATGTACATATGCATTCAGTGCGAAGCTGTTAATTTGAAATTACAAAAAGATACTTCAATTTTATTTATTTTATATACATATTATATTATGTTGTATTTTATCATCGGTGACGTATAAGGCGTTAGTTTATGGTAAAAATATTTGAAGACTGTTTCTAAAACCTACAGTAAATATTCAAATTTTCTTTTATTTATTTTTCATTTTTTTTATTCAATTAATTAATTAAAAAACATTTTTTGATGATTACTTTATATCATTTGTACCTCGGCATTTCCGTGTATTACACCAGATTTTGTATATTTTGATAATGTCAAATACATGGATGTTGATATCAAGCCTAGTAGGTACTAAAATGAAAAAAAATGTCATTGTCTACAGATGAATTGATGCATAGCGCGGCTATGGGGGGCGGAGCCTTATTCGGGTGCTCCTCAGCTGGTCATAGCGGTATCAACCAGCTCGGCGGCGTGTATGTGAACGGGCGACCGCTGCCGGACTCCACGCGGCAGAAGATCGTGGAGCTGGCGCACTCGGGGGCCAGGCCGTGTGACATCAGCCGGATACTCCAGGTCTCCAACGGCTGCGTCTCCAAAATACTCGGCAGGTCAGTTGGTTTTAAGTTATTTTATTAGCAATATTGATAATGAAGAATTCGGTAGACTGTGAAAGATGAGAAGTCAAGAGTTTGTGCAAAATTGTCTGAGTGGTCAATAGGTAGGAGACTTGTCATTACGTACGTCATCAGCAAATAAAAAGTATAAAGAAAATACGTAGAAAGCCTTATTTTATGTACACACAATTTAGGTAATATATACATTTCATCAGTAATAATAAGACTACAGTTGTTTATCATAAAACGTAGACAGAACACTTGAATGCCACTAATGTGGTCAAAAAATTTTTAGTTTATTGAAAATGAATTGTTAAAATAAAGTTTTGACCTTTAAATGCTTTTTAGAAAATCTCTATATATAATAATAGAGAAAAAATAGCATAAAAATAGAGCGTTACTTTATTCATTATTTTTAGGAAGATTGTATAATGTATATCTAATGGAAAAAGTTCTGGAAATTAATCTTCACCAATCAAACAAATTTCAGTTTTGCTGACATTATATAAATGCCGAAAGGTATTAAGTACCTTTGTTTGTGCAATAAAAATACAACCATACTCGTCATAAAAATAATTTTATTTTTATGACTAGTATATAACGTGAAGTTACGTTACATGCTTATTGATCTAGTTTAAAGGTATAGATTGATAAAATATTACTATCTCTCTACTGCTAATATTATCAAGAATAATAGTATAAAATTAAAAAAATGTATTCATGTGTTCGTTAATTTACAAGACATATTTGCCCCATTCAAAATTCTATATTTAACACCACTAACGCAAGCAGCAAAGCACCCATAACAATTAAAACGAACACAATTCCATTAAAAGTACGAGTGTTAAATTATTTAGCACAAAACCTATTGTGGCGTTAACAAAAGTCGTAGGATCGATTATGTCCAACTATTGCAAGATGGGGTCAAAATCTTACGACACGCGTTAACAAATTGATCGAATTCCCATAATACCGCCCAAGGGACCGCACAATGCCTCCGCGACGCTCCCGTCGTGGACAAAAATTAAACGAATATTTCAATGACTTAATCAATACAATACCAAGTTTGCATTCCCATAGTGAATTTTTGTGTTGTATTGTTTTTGTTGAATGGTAGACGTGTGCGCCGCGGGGTGACTAGGTGGGAATCGACATCGGGTGCCAATGGTATAGGGTGCCGGGCTCTAATTTCGTAGGAAATTTTATCGTTTGATTGCGATTTTATCTGGAGATCACGGAGGATTTCAGCCCTCGCCCGCCCCGGCAGTCTCAAGTGCTTATTGAAATGGCAGTATTCAATTGTTTTCGTTAATCGAAATAAACTGACAAGTGTTAAAACATTTTCGCTCTTTCGGTGAGATTACAAATTACTGATTTAAGAACTGTAATTTTATTTTTATCACATATATTTTTAATATAATAATATTCTTAACTAATAATAATCATATCTAATGTAGTAGATTATTGAGTATAAATTTTGTTTCCCTCCTGTTTAATTCAAATTTGATGTTCAGTTTTTATTTATATATACTATTTTTCTAACGTACATATGTCATTCCATCATAAGCTAGTGTAAAATTTTGCAAAACGAAATTTATTTACTATCAATACACAGATACTTGGTTATTTGAGATTACCTAAAATAGTATTTTGACTAAACGATAGTTGTTTGCTTTACTTTTTATAGCGATCCATTAAAAATCAATGAGAACAAAAATAAAAAGTTAATTTGGAACAATAAAAAAGGCAAAAGACGTCAATCAAAGGAACTAGGTTTATTTTAATATAGGGTATTCCTTTCAGGGCTGTCCCACGACCGCCCCTAAATAAAAATCAAAATAAAACATTATTTTCTAGTAATTGGCACCCCTACTGCGGGAGACTGCTTGACGCCACTTCAAGAGGATCTTATAGGAAAATAAATTTTGCTTTGGCGACCCTATATTATGTCCCATGGGGATATGTTATTATTTTGCAATGTAACATTTGTTAACGTGTTTATGAAACAAGTGCTATTTTAAGAGGATACAAATAAGAGGGACTGTGCTTGCTTTGCTGCTGTTGTAGTGTTATACGAAAAATATTTTATATATTTTGTTATAGATATAATTAAAATTAAAAAATATGAATAATGTAATCATCGGAAACGAGCGTAAAGTTATTATCAATATCCTTTTGTAACGATTTTTACAAGAGAAAGAATTAGCCTGTTAATACTTACTATGCTAGGAAAGCGGCTTTATCAAGTTCTTATTAATTTTATCTTTATTACATTACATTTTTTGATATCACAGAAAAGAATAGTATTTTGTACATCATACGAATATTTTTAATACATATACCTCTTTTCATACATTTTTATATGTGTATTATAGAATTAATACACATAAAAAATGTACGAAAAGAGTTAAATATTTCAGTTATTGCATATTTTGTTTATTGTATTACTGCATCTTTTTACATCTGTACAATCAATTTCGAATATTCTGATCAAATACTACTAAACATCAATTCGTCCAAACCACGACTGCAAGTGCTAGCGACGTATTTTTCCCACACACCCTTCCCTGGACATTCTTATCGTGCCAATTACGACGGCAAAGGGGTTTGTGCAGTGTTTCTTAGGGTTTTTCGAAAGGGCAAGCATGGTAGGACTCCTAATTAGGGACGGCCCCCGCTGTTCGGCTTGTGTTATTCTTGATTTCGATTTTTAACCGCTTGGTTGGAATTCCCGAAGTAAAATGTTCTATTCAGTGTGAATTCATTTATGTAGTGTAAATTGCGAAATGTTCTGGTAATGTTTATATAATAATTATGCGTTATGTACTTCATTATGTATAGAACTTTCGATTTGTATTTATTTTTAATAATAATCACTAAGTAGGTATGTATAATTTCGTAAGCACAAAACTAGCTTTACTTTACAGTTCTGTGTTCTCAAATCAGATTATGTTTTTTATTAGTAATTACTACTAATATATAGTTTATATGCAGATAAATACATTGTTTATAGATTAGTATAAATACAAATCAAATTGACCTGCAACCAAAATATCAAGATTGTGATATATCTTTTAAATACATATATTTTCAATATTTTGTTTTAATATTAGATACTACATGCAGAATAGTATTCTTATTTGAATGAAATATACATGTTATTAATTAATTAATAAAAAAAAATAATTAAATAAATCGAAAGGTTTTAATAATTCATTGAAACTAGAAGTATTTAAATAAATATCTAGGATATTTAAGTAAACAAATACAAAAGGCGTAATTATAACCTAAACACTCTGCGTCAATATAACTAGGTACTTCAAAAACAATCTCTGATTTGGCCCTAGAAAATGAATTTATCTCCATCCATACATCTGGCCCCCCAGCGTTTCGATCTTATATCAAATTTGCCAGTTAAATCGCCTGATAGCCACCGATTTGCTTTTATCTGGCGGCTAGTAACCGAGTAATGAATGGGAAATAGAAATTAACGACGACTACCGCAGCTGGGATTGTATTGTCGGCAATGAACGACTGATTTCGATCAATTTGTTATTGTTAGATGCGATTATTGTTGGCGACTGTTGGAAAGCTTCCGTTGATTTGTTACCGAGTTGTTTTTTAATCAATCATGTAGTATTTTCTAATAATGCTACAGCTATTAAAATTATTAATTAATAATAAGTTTGTAAATATTATATATATAAGTATGATAGGTATCTATTTGTTATTGATTGTTTGCCACCTAATATATAGTAATTAGTAATAAAAAAATGTTTACACACTGTTTTTACACACTATATTTCGAAAAGACTTAGAGTCGAGTTTCTTAGTCATACTTTTCGTCTCAGATGATGTTCCGACCTGGGGGCGTATGTAAAATCCCAGGCAGTTCAGTTTACGGCCTTAAACTGAATTGTTCTTTTTCGTATTATGAGGGTCCAAATTCAAACCGTATTCTGCCTGGATAGTTTGTCTCTGGCTGGTTAGTTTTTCTCGCGCTATATTTCGTTGCAACGTTAAGTTGAGTTTTTGTGTGTCATTACAAAATATTAATTAAATAAATGTAAATTAAATATAGAAAACAGTAATTAAGATACAATAGTTTGATATAAAAAATATTCCAGACAGTTTTATTGAATAATTCATTTATTTGTAAAAAATTAAAATCCAAACGAAATTTGTGCATCTACTTAAAATTCCGCGCAAAAAAATTCTGATTTTAATGTACAAAAAATATATATATATTTAAAATATACCTAATGTAACGTAAGTATTCCTAACATTAATGTTTTTTTATATGCATATAAATATTTGTACATTTATCTAACTAAATTGTAGATCACGGACTGAAATCCGCCAACGTCGTGTATCGTATAATAAAATTATATTTTTTAAAATTGTGTGGCTTTAATAAGTCGAGAATACCATACCAATCGCTTGTGTGAGGACGTCGCTCAACAATTAAACTCCTTAGGAAAGTTTTAAAGACTGGAAAGGATTGTCAAGTTTAAGTGTTATAAGGTAACCATCTGAATTTTAATTTATTTCATTTAATAGGAATCTCAGTAAAATCTGAAATACATGTATCTATGCAAATAAATTGAAGTATATGTTTGTAATTTTGAAGTTCACCATACAACATATTTCATTAAATGCATATACATATATAAGGTAAGATAAATGACATTAAAAAAATAAACTTCTTTAAACAACTAAATCTTTGAAACAGCTGGACCAAATTTGAGGGATACTTTCACTGTCATATGTAATGAGAAACACACATTACTTTTATTTGAGATATTTTATTTATTTTAACAAAAACTATATCCAAACAAAGTCATATCCATAATAAAATTATCATATCCCTTTAATTATAACTACCAATAAAAGACAAATAATGTACCTATATCATTTATTATAAAAACAAATAATTAAAACATTGACCTATTAACAATATTATTATTTATAAATGTTTCAATTTCTTAGTTCCACAACTAAACAACATGGGTTTGTCTAGCAGCTAGACCTTCATTTAGTTCTCTATAAGAGCTCAAAGTATGTATCTCTAAATCTGAAGCCCAATTGTGCTCTCAATGATATTCCATGTTCTTAGTGTAATTCATTTGAGATGGGAGTAGAGGATCTAAAAAACAAAAACAACATATTATATACTATAATATTAATATTTATTTACAAAAAGTATTAATTCATTAAAAACACAGCACAATAACTGTTGTTGCTGATAAATAACTATGTTTCTAAATTACTGAAGTTTAGAGCTTAGATGTAATGATGTTTGTAGTTTCATAATAAAATTTTGTGCTTACCAAGTAATCAAATTCAAAGTCCTCTAGATGTTGCCTAATGCCTCTGCTTTGCCCAAATGTCATGAGTAGCTCCAGTTCCAGTTGGCATCCACACTTATAATCTCCATGTCAGCATTACTAACCTAAATTTTTTTCCAGATTAAGATGAAGATTATTTGAAACATAAGAGAATAACTAATGGATAAATATTATTTGAAACATATGAGATTAATTACATGGATACAGATTATTTGAAACATATGTCTAAGTGTTATGGTCATTTAATATTTAAGTAAACAATTTATTGTTAGTATATAATCTGTATAATCATTAACATATTTTGCATGTCTAAAATCTTGTTTATTGTTAATTTATATAATTATATAAAAAAGATATTAAAAGTGCTTATATTATTAAACAGAATTTATATTTCACTTACCAATTATATATTTAATGAATGGTATTGTTTTCTACAGTAATATCTCTTCTTAATTTACAATGGGGTGGCATGTGTACAGTCAAATACAGCCCAATACACCCAGCATTCCAAATTCCAATTATAAAACCTAAAATATAATTAATTTAATTTAATTAATTGTCCTCGGAGGAAAGTGCCGGAGAGACTGTACATCATCAGACTGTTGGATACTTGTATACTTGCTTTCTAAGCTTTACTTGTATGCATACATTTTACCATATATATTATCACTATATCATATGGTACGATAGATGTTTATAACAGTTGAATTGTATAGAAATAGATACCTGAATATTTATTATCTATCCTTTTGTCATTGTTGTATTTACTTTTGGAGTTTTGTAACGGTTATTTGCCATGACTGAACACAATATCACTAATGTTGATAAATTTGTTTAATAATCCTATCGACATAGTCAGATTGATTTGAAATAATTACAGTACATTATACCTTAGTTTCGGTAGGTCTGTAAATTTCGATGATAATATGAGTTCGCACGCATATTACGCACCAAATCTTTATTTAGATTATAACGTTTATTTTTATGTGAATCGCCGTTTTTCAACCGTACCATCAAAAACTCCAATACTTATTCATCACACATAATTAAAATTAAAACGAAACAAAAACAATCGAAATATATTTTATATTAATAAAAACGACATAGAAATAGAAATAATAACCAAATTACAATAATTTTTAGCATTCTATAAAAGCTAATATGAAGCCACCGTAAACTGAATTGTTAGATTTATTCCTTAGACATGTCAAATGAAACGCTCATAATACGAAATAGCCGGTCAGTTTTCGGGTAGAAGACGTTCAGCTGTCATTTGACTTTTAATACGAAATCGCCAGGCAGTTCATTTAAGCCGTAAACTGAATGGGAATAAGAGTATAATACGGCCCCTGACTGTAAAATCCCTCTCAGTTGGTAATTATTTAATTTGATTTATTATTTTTAAGAATTATTACAATTAGTTTGATATTATGGGGTAGACAAGTTTAAAAAATCCCCGAATAAAAATGTAGTAAAAAAATATAAATATATTTAGGTACCTACTTAATATACATATAAAAAAACCAGATCAATGCAATCCAAGTCATGATAATAAAAATTTCTATTGTGCGAAGAATCGAACCCGGGCCCTTCGAAAGTAAGGCGATGTGTTAAAGCGCTAAACCACAAAGGCCATCATATAGTAGTTAAGTTGTCTATCCTTCAGGTTTTTATGAAAAAATATTATAAACACACATAAGCAATATATCAAAAAGCAATCCCATTATAAACAGTAAAACCGATTACAAACTGAAAATATGAAAAATACGCACAGGATGTATCTCTATTGGATAAGGAAATTACTTTAATGATTCATAAAGAGGATAAAGCATGTAAATGCATCGGTATACAAGTATACAAGGAAAACACCTGAGAAACAAAGTTCGTTGACCTCCAAAAGTCTTGAATAAACTCCCACTCAATTAAAAGGCAGTCAGTACACCCTACCACGGTTGCCCTTGTCGAAAATCTGTTCTATATAAGAGGCGCATGTGTTATAATAACGATAAACGGTAGCCTAAGTAAATAGAATCGACAGATGACAATGTCGATTTCGATTCGATAGTGTTTATTTGAGGGTTGATCGAGTTTTGTCATTGTTGTATCTGTAGTTTTGTAACGGTTTTGCGTGACTGGAAACCTGTGAACTTTGTTTCATGATTATCGAAGTAAGATTGTTTGAAATTTACCCTTTCGTAGCTGAATTGGGTGAAATAGGTAGGTAATAGGCAATTTAAGTTTATTCTTGTGATGTTTTATCAACCGACCTCAAAAGTAGGTTATTCTCATTTCGACTTTATTCTTTATATTTATACGATTCAAAAATATCACATTTTGCATTATTATTGTTTTTTTTTATTTTATATTAGCTGCCTATGTAGTAATTTGCTTTTACATATCTTATTACGATTGCTAATATTAATGAAAAAATGTTTAAAATAATACCTATTATTGTAATAATTCGTACCGATATAAATAGAAAAAGTAAGTTAATCTATTAAAAATAGCCATTAAATATTTATTAATATTTTTCCCATGTATGAATATTTTTTTATTATTTACCGTCACGGCATCGCAAGGATGCATTACATATCATTATAATTCTCGGCGTGTTCTATATAAAACGCATATGTTATACATATATCTAAACCCGACTTTTAAATCACTCTATTTTATGCTGAATACTGCATTAAAATCTGTTGTGTAATTTAAAAGATAAGCGAACAGTCAGCCGCGGTGAGATCGTTTTATATCTACACGTGTTAATAGTTTCTGTGTAATGTAATTGTTTTGTCAACAAATCTGTTTTCAGCCGTGATTTTTGTACAAGTAGATATATATAATACGTGGTTTCTTTTTTTACCTAAGTCAGTAACAATTTTATATTTTTTTCTGTTCAATGGAACCCCTGAATATAACACCACATTCATACAAGAGTTATCAATATGTCGTTCCTAATATCGACACATGTCTATCTCTCAACAATAGACTTGCATCGAGTACATCCTGTATCCAAACCAAGATACCATCTAGTACTAACAAAAGAATTACTGAACTTTATTTTATTTAACTTTAAAGCTCAAATTCGTGTGAACGGTCTCTGTTCGAACTGCTAACATTGTTTGGTTTTGTATTTATATATTTGTATGAGTCCTTGAATCTAAGGGGATAGTTTTGGGATTATGTTCGTAATAGTACTTTAATGCTTTTTGAGTGGTGGTACAGGCAGTTGAAATAATTCGATCTGAAACAGTAATGTTTGTCTAATGGGTCTCTGAACATAATATTAAGTACTTATTACATATAGGTACCCACCTAAAGTTAAAATTCATACGATTTTGAATGCCTAATAATTACGATTGCATTAAGTATTCATATTCTTTAATCATCTTTGCTGACTTTAAAAGATTTAGGCGAATTATAATTTACCTAGTTGATTTTATTATTTACCAGCTAAATTATAAAGTTTCAAATAATCATGGGATCTTAAGAAAGGAAACCTTTTTAGTAATCTATTATAATATTATACTTATTTAATTAATTTATTAAATAAAACCGAACAGCTTAAGGTTGTACCCAGTGGCGTGATTTAGCCTTTCAAGTCATGACTTGAGAGAGATCTATGTCCAGCAGTGGACTGCAGTGGAATAATGATGAATTTATATCTAGAAAAAACTATTATTTGCTTTGGTACATCATCATACCTAATATAATTTACCATAAATATATCAAGGAACCTAACAAAGAGACACTTTCTCAAATATTACGTCAAAATATATGATTTTGCATGAACTTTCTTATAGCCAAATATTTGTTTAGTTTACAATAGAATTGTTACACTTGCAAGTTTCATATTTTGCTCTTATTTGTCAAAACGATTGATAAATCAATCTCCCGATTAGAACAAATTCTATTCAAACAAATTTTGGAACTATTATAGATCCCCACTATACGATTTGTCCATTATTATCATATAATTTACAAAAAAATATCTATATATCTATACTGTGTACATACGATCCCACTATTTTCCATAATCCAAACTAAGTTCAGCTTCACACGCAGATATTACGAGACGGGGTCAATCAAGCCTCGTGCCATCGGGGGTTCGAAGCCGCGGGTGGCCACCACGCCCGTTGTCCAGAAGATAGCGGACTACAAGAGGGAGTGTCCTTCGATCTTCGCTTGGGAGATCAGGGATCGTCTCCTGAGTGAAAACGTGTGCAATAACGACAATATACCTAGCGTGAGTAGTTTTTTCTTTTTTTCAAATTTTCGCTGAGCTGATGCACTGTATGTTATTGTAAAACACGTAGTCTAATGCTTATTTCACTTTCATATTTAATACGTCTATTAAAAGGTATAGATAAACGGGTTTTAACACGAATAATTTAATGGTAAATAAAGGTATTTACCTATCTCAACGTTTCGACTAGTTAGCCCCAATTTAGAACCTTTATTTACCATAAAATTGTTCGTGTTTAAAACCCCTTTAAATATATTAATAATGTAGTCTAATAATCAATTTTTTATTGATATGCTATGTAAATAACATTTGGCAGTGTGTATAGTTACATATAGTATATTTTACGTACATAGTAAGTAGGTAGGTAGGTATAGGTAAAAAGTATACCTAAATATGCAGATATTAATTACTAGTCTTACAATATTTGTAACTGAAATTTCTTACTCATATTGACATATCAATCAAAATAAATGCAGGCAATTCGAAGTACAAGGAAATATTTATACACTAAATTTTAAATGTCAAAACACTCACAAATAAAGGACCAATTTAATTAGATTCGACAAACATATGTCCCAGTGCCCATTGTGCCGCCCTCAAAATAAGCCGGACAAAATCCAGTGTCAATTCTTCGCTTTTAATCCAATTTTGTAATATCGAAAATTTCACTTTAGATGCGACCATATGTTACTGGTCCGACGCGGGCCCATTGTCCGCGCTCCGGGTCTTTTCAAGACGGACCCTGCTTAACATAATGCAAAGAGTCTATTCTGCGAACGTTATTGATGACGGTTTATAAAATTTTTGCTCAGAATGTTTGATGGTGCCGTTTTATTGCGTTTTTGTCGTGTCCCATACAAATAATTATCTATTATAGAATTTGAAGAGTTCATAAATTCTCGTTCAATTTTGTTGTACGACTATACGATTATATGATTCTTCTTTATTTATTAACAACAGTTTGGTAATAAAACTTATAAAATGTAGCCTAATAAACAAACATTTTCAGTTTTCATTGCAATTTGAAATCAGGCACAGTTAGGTAACAGATAACTTTGTAATTGCACAGCTTCATAGTACTTTTGCATACAACGAGCAACATTTCATTTCACAATTAACGAGACTGTAAAAAAGTTAATAAAACCACGATCCGTATAAAAATATCATGCACAAGATAAATATAAAGCTGTGTGCGAAGTGACACGAGCGGTAATCGAACCAGACGTTAGCAGCGACATCTGCCCGGCCAATGGAGGCAAAAAATAACAAAGCGGAATAATATATCTTTTTATTCACGAACCAATTTTTCTGTTAATAATGTCACAACTCTAAAATCGAGTTTTTGTGATTCAGGCATCGCGCGGCATTATGTAAACACTCGGTGACACAATGGATGCCGCGGAGTGTACACAAAAGTTTTTGTACTTCGAGTGTTGAAACTGTTGGTTTTGCGGAAATGTTACCATTTTGTATCTACAAATGGGAAAGATACAAGGCTTATAAAAAGGTTTTGATTATCTTTAGCCTGGGAAATATTATCTGGTAATAGATAAGTACAATTATAAATTGTTTATGTGTTTGGAAATCTTTATTGATTATAATTAATTAATAAAGAGTATAGTAATAAACATTACACACATACATTATATACATACCTCTATAAAATTATAAGTATACATTCAGTACCTAAAATATATAATATATAAAAATAATATTTTATAAACATCTAATTCACTAAGTTCACAATTAACATTTTTATGTCTTCACACCTTTTAAATACGTCTGTAGCGTTTTTCATGTATTATCTTCTCAAATTATTTACTTCTATAGTTAATGCTATTTATATCTAGTATTTTACGGCTAAAGAATTCTTATGACAGCGCATTACAGTGTAATAGTTACAGACTATAGATAAACGCCTATAACTAATCATAAAATACCTTTAGGTATGCCATGCTCCCCCCGCGTAACGAGAGGACAAAATCGAAATACCCCCTAGAAGATTCGGCGCCAAAAGGGGCTATTTTTATGACTGTCGTACCTACGTATTCGGCCCACTGGGCAAATAGGTGAACGGAACAAGGGATATACTTACACATGTGTAAGAATGAGAGGGGTGTTTATCGTGCGTTGCGTCGCCTAGTCATAACGGTCGAATGGGCGTGATGTTTCTTACCAACTGAAAGCGGACAAAAATACGTGGAACAATCGATTAATGCTTGGAAGCAGAATAGCGTAAAACACTGTCTGCTTTTTACGGTACACTATATTCAAAATAATATTTACCCATATTTAAAATATCACAAATTACTTCAACATTGTATACAATTACTTATGATATTCAATGCCTATATTCAGTTATCTAATTAAATTCTTATCTGTTACTTCATTAAAATTCTATTCATAAATACAAATTATTAACGTAAATTACATTTACAAAGACGTTGAAAATGTGCCAATTTATTATTTATATATATTTTTTGTAATTTATCGTTTACTTATTACATTGAAGAACACAGAATTTTTAATTTAAAAATAATAGAACAAGGATATGTTCAAAGTATTATAAAGATTTATAGCTTACAATTTTAAAACTTACACTAAAGTTATTCCATAATAATGTTGATATAAAAGGATAGCTATTTCTGGTCCCTAACTTATTTAGCTCTCTTTAGATTACCGAAATTTTAGAATTAAGATTTGATAGTCATATCTTATGACTTCCAGATAATATTTTATTATTTTACTTAATAGTTGACATTTTGAGTTAACAAATAAGTATTAGTATTTAATACATATTTAACATAATTTATAGAATATTTTTTAAACATTAAAAAAAGTAGTATTGTTTGTGTCATGTCTTTCGAAGAAAAAAGACAAATTTCCAAAAAAGCACTTACGCCTCTCTTCTTTCCGTTTCTTGTACTATAATTCCACGGTTCCGCGTGAATGGTCAGAATATTTGTTGTCACTTTCACACCTACATGCAATCCGTAAAGATCTGTATTATGTCGTCTCGTTTATTTTGTCCGAGAGTTTAATGTCAACTGCTTATGATGGCATAGGAATTGACGGTTTTAACTTTACAATATTTATGTAAATTGTCTAGATCAACTTGATATCATAATAATTATATGTAGAGAGATATTTAAAGGTACGACAGTACCTAATATGCTGCTAATGTAAAATTAGGTTTAGCAGTTTTAAGGACTTATGGATAGTATAGCAATATAACAAAATATTACCGCTAATAAGTTGCTGAGCTCAAGACTCGAAAACAGCTAGAGCAATTTTTCTAATATGTCTTCCGGTTCGAAAAAGTTTCTTAAAAAGAGAAAAGGTAAAAAAAAATACCTTAATGTTAATCTTCACTTTTTTACAAACTATTTCTAGTTATCAATTTAAATACATCATAGAAGAATGTAGTAGAATCCTGTAGAATGGGGTTAAAAGGTAGAGCGAAAAGGAGTCTTCTCTATATATAATTCAAAGTTCACTCGGTCATCTAGTTTTTAATTACAAATAGGTATCTGGCAACAAAGAATAACTCAGTCACTTCCTAAGATACAAATCGAAGATCTCCAATCAACAGTTCCAGATTCAAACACCGTTAAATACGATTTGGAGACACCTAATTTAAATTTAGAATTCATGAGTTCGATCGAGCGAGCGGGGCGGCGTGCACAGTGGGCCACCGAGCAACTTGACACCGCCAAAACGCTACTGAGAAGCATTTTCGGGGCTTCGTGTAACATGTAGCGTCGTGTGTATTATGTAACATTATGTAGATACGTTTCGTTTTCATTTACACGCCGATAGAATGTAATTGGAGATATTGAACAGAGTGGGTCGGTGTTTGAACGTGGACGGAACAATTAGGTGCTATGTTGGTGCTCTTACAGTAGTTTATTTTAGTTTTAAATTCAATACCAAGGTCGTTACAGCTGAGATTAACTTGCTCAAGTTTATTTACAAACAGATAATATAGCGCTAGTTATAAATTATTTCTGTACGTTTGTTATCTTTTTACGAATAGACTGTTTTTAATGGAATTTAATATAAATGGAAATTATAGTAGAAGACAGATATAGGCAATTAATTATCACCAAAAATAAGCTGGATAGAGGTAAGGCGAATAGGGGATAAAAGTTTACGGGGATGAAGAAACACCTTATATTATAAATACCAAAATGAATCTGTGTATTTATTATATATTTACGACTAACCAGATATAAATAAAATTTAACATTCTATATTTTACCTCTAAAAAGGCAAACAAAGTAACGGATAACAGCTAGTCTCTTATAGATATATGGTATAAATAAACAACCACTTCAATCTAAATCACCGACAACAATTTAACAGCCATAATGAACTCAGTGAAAGCTCCATGAGCGAACTATCCAATCTCAGCGCCCTCGGAGAATTGCAAAAAATCTTCCCCCTAACCAAAAACGAACCCTAGCCTGAAACCGCTTTTCACCGGGGAATCAACCCTGGGTCTCCGCGGGTTAAGCGCGTACGTTAAAATGTTTATAGATAATACCAATGTAGGTAATAGTAATTCTAATTCAGAACGGGGCGGCGACCCCTTAGTGAAACTGACGGAATTTGTATTCATCGTAATAGCTTTTGTCCGGATATCTTGTACGTATCGGTTTGATGTTGAATAGCCATGGAAAAGTCTATAGAAATGGTTAAATAGTGCAGGGGATTTTCATTGAGATGCCTCTTGAAGAAATTTGTTTTGATCTTTTTTTTGACTACATTATTTGTATAATTACCACTGGGTTCAATATAAAGGTCTGTACCTACTACTTACATATGAGTGTCCACATCTAGTATTTTTGGTATAGGTAATCTATTATAATTGTTTTCTTTTATCAAAATTTATTGGCAAATACATAAGGCTAGATTACGAACTTTGTAAAAAGTCGTCTTCGTGGATACCTCTTTCTTACCCATTTCAGCGGTTAAGCGTGCTTTGTAAGATGTGTTGA